AAGTCGCCTGGTTACTGGTATCAGAGTTGGATCCGACTCTAGATTTGCCGCAGGATTCGAAATCGTCGGATATCTCGTTGGTTGGCGTCACGTCGTAGGGATTTGCAGGAGGCGAGTTCGTTGACGCTTCTGTAGTTGATGTCGTAATCGGAAGTTTCGGTCTGGTTCGTGCTTGAACTGCCGGAGTGTTAAATCTCGGTGACGTAATACTACCCAAGTCTGTCAAAGATGATGGTGGTATTGTGTTCGGAGAGTCGGCTATTGTTATCAAACTGGAAATAGCGGAAGCGAACTCTGAGAAGGCAGTTGTTAAATCCCTTCGGTCTTCAGCCTGTAAAGTTAATGGAATTACAATCTAAGTAGGGCTAGTCAAAAAGACTAAAGATGACCAGAATGTCAAGTACAGATTTATAAGCTTAGCAGTAGTTATCACAGCGGTTGGTTGTTTCTATAAAAGGAGATCAGGCTCATCGCTCAGAGAGGAGGACGATGAAAAGGTAAAATGAGCTTAAATTAGATTTACCAACCCCAACCTATTTTTATTAGAGTGTGCACGGCAACAGACTTAGAGAGCACAAGGCAACGGGAAAAAGGAACAACAACAAGGAATGTATTATAATAAACGTTCGTTGGCTCATACAAAACAATTTCTGAATGCAATGTTGTTACTTAACACAACGGAAAAAAAAAGATGACACAATTTACATCACGGCAGCGGCTAAATAAAAATCAATTTGTGGAATTAATACCGATAGTTTTCAACAATCAAGACCACGAATCAATTTCCATAATAAAAGAACGCAGTAAAAAACGGAAACTTTGAGGAAAAAATTTAAAAAATTTCATAATTACCTTTACTTGATACTACTATCTTAGCGAGCAAAAAAGAAAAATTTCATTCTCACTCTCAACTCGTTCATTCGAAAAAAATATATATTTGTTGAAAACTGAATTGAGTGCGCTGAAAAGTGTGAAAGTAAGAATTGCCGCTTAATGGGTGTTACAAAAGACATAATCAGACTCACGGAAGACAAGAGAGAGAACCAATCTTGGATTGCTTGGAACAATTTGTAAAGTGACGAACTCGAGTATGTGGTTTCAAAAGTACTTTATAAAATCAAAATGAGTAGATGTATGATTGGATTGGAAAGCAGTTGATTCCATATGCTAGATCGACGCACAGGTAAAGCAAATTAGAAAAAAATTGCAACAAAGCAATTTGGAGAGATAATGGAAATCAACGAAACAATAAATAAAATCCACAAAACAAAAATGAAATTCTCCGTGATGTCGAAATAAAATTTATCGGTCCTCCAATTTTTGACGTCAACAAAAAAGGGAAACAAAGGAAGAATTTAATTTTGTGTTCTCAACGGAGTCCTTTAAATCCGGCCTCAACAGATAAATAGCCTGAGCAATTCTTATGGCGTTTCTGTCACCAATCGTATTTTTGACAACTACATCTTTTTAAGCACAGAATGCGCGCGCACATTTGTTTAGACAAATAGTAAGCTAACCGCGCGCGCCACTTGGAAAAAAAAACAAGAAAAAAACACAAGAAAAGAAAAAAAACTAGATAAATCACATTAGCGTAATAAATATTACATTTTACTACTCATGCCACTACTTGATGTAGCACAAAATTATACAGAAGGAGATGAAATAATAATAAAAAAAGGAAAAAAAACTCCTTTTTAAAAATTAGTGGCACAAGCGTTGTCTGGTATCTTAAGCACTCGAAAAACTTTAGATAAATCTGTTGCTCTACATTTTTCTATGGTATATTGCGCTGAAGAATATACATTTTGAACTGTTGTTTTAAGTTCAAATCAGTTTCTTGAGAAGGCGTGAACAATAAACGTCAGCAAAATTCGTCAAAAATGGTCAGTCAGGGATTTTGGCAGAGCTAGAAAACTCTTAATTGCTGGTCTAAAAAAAGTGTCTAAATTTTTCAAAAAAACATTTGTGTCTAAAAATTGCTGCTAACGCTGCCCTCTATTGAGTATATCCTTGAGGAGGCGTTAGGGGATGTACTACCAAAAATGACGTCACAAAATGTACCAAAAGCGTCTCCTCGATTCCCCTACTTAATTGATATTTAATATTGGAGTTTTGTTGCGCGCAGAAAAGGTGATCTATCTATATCCTTCTGATTAATTGCAACAATATTAAAATTAATTAAGTATTTGAGTATTTATGTACTTTTGCTTAAGTTCTTTTGCACTCCTTGAACTACTCCTTTATAAGCATTTAAATTACTCCTTTATAAGAAGGGGACGGGGATTTTTCTCTGCGTACTACCTGAAATCATTAAAACTACCAGGAAAAACAAAAAATTAATTACCTTCGCACGAGCAGTCGTTCTCACTAATTTAATGTGTATACTACCTTTAATAGCTGCAAAATTGACATGTTAAAATGGTATAAAAGTTCTAAGAAAGACGACTTAATGGCTGGGCAAATACTTGCGGTAAGATAAAGTAATTGTATGGAGATCTGTAAGTCACCGTTTATATGTACTTCTATGTCCATCTACATTCTACTATCAGGATAATTGACCTTGAGTTGTTTTGGTAAGCGGGCTATGACATTTATTAGCCTGATGTAGGCCAAAACACTAGTTCAAAATTTACCAATGCAGGCCAACGTTAAAGGCGGCAAAACATCTAACTACAGAGTTTCATAATAGCTTAAATATAGCGAAATTAAAATTCCAAAAACACTAAGTACTATCTAGATCTGATTAAATATTTTGAAAAACAGGCCGAAAAAGGCGTTTTTAGGCAGTTTTTAGAAAATTTTGACCAAAAAAATTGCGTTTTTTTTGGAGCGCGCTCCCCCCTTAAAGTAAGTATATATTGGCGCCAAAGGCGCCTTTAGAAAATTTTTAGGGTCCGTCACCAAATATGGATGTCTAAATCCGCCCCTGATTCTTCCCATTGCGTTGATGCAGTCAAGCTTAAAAAGAATTTTGAGTCAAGCTCACGGACTGAAATAAGTAAATAACGAATATTTACAATAGAAACAAATGAATAGAATCCAATGGACTGGATGCAATTAAAATGTTTTTAAAGCAGTAGCGGATTTAGGGGGGAAGGGCGGGGGCGGCGGCGGCGGAGGCCTCTTCTTCAGGGATTCGACCCCCTGCCGACCCAAAGGGTCCCCCCTTTGTACTATTTTGAGATATCCATTTTTGTCTGACTGGCCTTAAAATTTTTCTAAAGACCTTAAAATTTTTCTACCTTAAAATTTGCCAATCTTTACTACTTTTGAGGGGGGAGTGCGCGCCAAAAAAAGCGATTTTTTGATAGAAAAGTGCCTAATAACCTTATTTTTGGCCTGTTTTTCAAAGTTTTGCCTGCGGCGCAGAAATTTTGGCCAAAACAGGGTCTTTATAGGTGTTTGGGAGAGCTCAGAAAATCAATTTGGTCAACCTAAAGAAAAGTTTTTTTTTGAAAATCCTCCCCCCCCCCCCCCCCCTCGAGAAATTCCTAGATCCGCGCCTGTTTAAAAGCGATTTCTTCTCAGGTATCTTCTATTCAAAATTTTACATTTATACTCTCCTTTCAACAGTTTATTTATATTAAATTTAATCTCGAGCACGGAGCTCTAGAGAGTCAGCTGGTTGACACGGATTGCCAGTGTCTTTTTAGAGAATTTATTCGCCGATAAAACAAACAAATTCTGTTTGATTTAAACCGGAAAAGCTTCAAAGGGATAAGCTCGCAAACATCGGATAAATTTTGAAAGATTCACTAAGAAAGCCAGAATAAAAAAGAATGCCAGCTATCTCGTTTTTTGAGAAAAACAATGCTGCACACAATTTGGACTGAGATAAATTTTCAAGCACAGGTGGGAATTTGTTCAGGAGCCAGTTTGTTTTTGATTTCCTTTCAAACAGAACTCCAACTCATAAATATATGCATGCGTGCAACAATTTACCCCAATAAGAATGAAAAACAGAACAGAATCCGTCTTATAAATCTAATTTCTGCAATCAATCCCAGTTTTTCCTAGGGAACTAAATGTTATGTGGACGAAATGGTATGCTTAAATTTCTGCTTTTTGCTATGCCTATGAGCTACCTTAGCGTCAGTTTCTAATAGACGTTATCATAAATGTCCCGATAAATCAAGTGAAGGAAACATGGCATGAAAGGTTTTCATGCGGTGTGAATGCTTCCAAATCGAGAACACTAAAACATACTTTCTGGCATGTAGAATATGTCAATTCAAATGTACTTCTTTGACGTCTATCTGTGTTGGGCGTCAACGGGTCCAGTTATGAATAACTTCGAAGGGTAAAGATAAGTGAGCAAAAACGGTGTGCTTTTTTGTAAGTTTCAAACCCAAAATAACAACAATTATCAATTTGGTATAAAATGGTTGAATGATTCATTCATTTTCATTTACGAGCTTAGCTAACAATTAAGAAGTAAAAACAAGAATGAAGAGCGAATGAACGAAAACTAAAAACATCTCACATAGAAGAGTAGCAGCTTAATTGGTACTTAATTTGACCAGATGAACTAGACTCAATTCTCAAATGCAACTCTTTAATACCAAAATGTACCATAGACTCTAGATCCTGGTAGTCCCCAAATTAACAAAACATACTCAGAGTAAAAAAAAACCTGGTCGAACATGGTAAAAATAACACTGGGTTTCGCAGGAAAAAAACATATAAGCAAATTAACCAAACTTGAAGTATTGAATAAACTCAAAATCGCCGAAAAAAAGACATATCACATTTTCATAGACAGTATTTGAAAACAATTAAATGCGGAACCAGCTAGAATAAAGTTGAAAAATGAAAAAAAAATTGGCAATTAATTTTTTTAAGTATCAGAAGGTGACTCACCCCAGTAAACTCTGGATAGTGTTCAGGTTGAGTCGTCAGTTCCTCCTCTGACTGCAACTGCACACCCTGCACTCTATCACTAGATGCAGCTTCTTCTGACGTCATTTCCCTCGTCGCCGTCAGCTCATTTATCATTTTCTCATTTGCCAATTTGATTACAACACGAGAAGACGAGTCGAACTCGGGTTGGTCAAGTTCTGTAATGTCGTTTCGCTTTCTGAGGTTTTGGTAGTTTAGTAATTCGGATTTCAAACTATAAACTGGATTCTCGGTAGGTGATTGGTTTGCACTCTCTACGCCTTTTTCCGAGGCACAGTGGAAGGAATCAGAATTTGCGTGCAGTTTTGAAGCTCTCAATGTCAGAGGTAAAGGTAAATCTGAAACGTATCAAGTTATATAAAGCTCCAAATTTGAAGTCAGAAATCGACAAAAGAATTGGTAAAGAAGTTTAACAATGTTTATCAAATTTTGAGGTTGTGGCTGATTTCAAGTTAATCCCAGGGATTTCCAACAGTTTTACTCAAAACAAGTTCCTATTTTGTCCTCAGGCGTATACGCTTTGAAACTAGGTTTGAAGGCTGTTGATCCATAAAAGTCAAACTGACAACCAAAGAACTATTAGGTTCACAGTAATCACAACAAGCGCTTGGCAACAAAACCAGGCCCAAACGGCAAAGTAAAGGAGAAAAATTATGCGTATAAAGCAATTATGAAACCAATGAGAATTTATTTTGGCAGTAAATTGAGCATAAACTCGAGAATAAGTTAGCCTTTAGATTTCTTCCTCAAATATTCCACCCCTTCACCAACCAAAGGGTCCCCCCATTTGGTTTTATTTTATGCGATCCATTTTCGGCCGGCCAACCCTAAAATTTTTTCCAAAGGCGCCCTTGGAGCCGCCAATATATACTAATTTTGAGGAGCACGCGTCAAAAAAAAAACGTTTTTGGCCAAAATTTTCTGGTCAAAATTTTGCAGTGCCCGAAAACGGCAGTTTTGACCTGCTATTTTTTCAAGAATTTGTCTGGGGTGCAAAAAAAATTGTCAAAACGGTCTTTATAGTGTCATAGTAGCGCTCGGAAAATCAATTTGGTTGACCTAAAAAAAATGTTCGACAAATTTCTTTAAAAATCCATCACCCCTTTAAAGATCTTTATGACTTTCTCGCCTTCGATCAAATAATAGAAATGACTTATAAAATCCAACCTGATTCGATACTGATCAAATTCTTTTGCTCCTTTGATGGACTGGAAAGCCTCTCAGACTGACCACTACTATCAATATGTGTCACAGACGCTTCTTCAATTAAATGCTGTGAACTAAGTCCACTTGTCACGCTGCTGGGGGGAGTAGAATCAATTGCTGAAGGAGCCACATGTTCAAATGTCACTAGTTCACTAATACCACCAGCACCGCTGTTTGCAGTATTTTCTGAATTCAGTTCAACTAATATAATCCCATCCACCTCGTCTGTTGCAGCTTTTGAAGCTCCGTCTCCTCCATTAGTATGCCCCTCTCTTCTATTTCTTCCGCTGCCTTCACACTATCCAAAAACTCGTCCACCAATTGTTCACGCAGCACATTTTCATATGTTCCATTCCCATTGCTTATTGTAATTCCACTCTTTTTAGCTTCCACGTTGTTGGTAAGAGGGGCAAAATGGCGGCTATTCTGCTGTGCCGGTGCTGTGTGATTTACAACATCAACACCATTCATGTGTAGATTTCGTTCACATTGTTCCATCATAGCTCTCTCCAGAAATGAAGACTGCTGCTGTATAATTTTACCATTTCCCATTTGACTCCTATTCCCTTGGCGATTTTTTGGTAATTCGTACCATCATTAGCGCCACCATCAATGAAGCTTCAATGCTGAAACAAATAGACCGTCTTTTTAAAGTAAAACAGTCAATTTCCAAAAAAAAGTTTGGAAATACGGGTCTTGGAGAAAGATCAAACTTCAGACCTTGGATTTTTCAGCCCCTAAAAAATCTTAATGAGTTATGCAATAAGAATGGTTTGGTTCAAAATGCAATCAAAGGAAAGCTTGAAACAAAAATGACCACCAAACAAGTAGCCCTGAGATATTAAGAAGATAAGTTTTTCTCAAATCGCCTTAAAAACTGGTCGAAATGGTATTCATCAGAGCAATGGGGTTATTAATAGGTACATTGGCGGCAGATTATCTCAAGACAATAGCAATTCTTTTAATGACAACTGCAGTTTACTCTTCACTACTGGAGAGAAACAGATCGACCGAGCATGTAAATCATACCAACCAAATGCTTCATTGACCAATTACGAAACTGTCGATTTAAACTTCCATTTTTATGGCCGATGAGTTTATTTGTTTCTCAAGTTTTTTGTCTAAAATATATAGGGTACCGTTGAAACATCCAAAAAACCAAAAAGCATTGTAAACATTAAAAAAGCAGCTTTAATAGAGCAAAATTGCGACTATTTTCAACAAGCAGGGCAAAGATCCAACTTTTACCGTTCGCCGAAAAGATGTTGTAGTGGCTGAGTGAACGTCGTGTGCGAGCTTGCCGACAGAGGTTAGGACTCTGGTTATTGCGGGTTATATTAGAGCTGGTTATCGCCGCAAAACGGTGATGCGCGCACAGAGCGCTTAACGACGATTTTAAACCGTGAATCGTCTAATTTGGAATCGGAAAATTGAACTATATCTTGTTTCTAAGAATTAACGACATACTATTACATAATTAATACGTACCCGCACTGACAAAAATGGATTAGGATCGATTTTAGTATGAAAAAAGTACGAAGACTAGATAAAAAAGATGAAGATTGAAAAGGATCGATTTAAAATCTATTTAAATTGATCTTAAATCCCCGCTAAAAAATTTGATCCAAATTGATTTTAAATCAAATTAAATGCATTTTTTCCAGTATGAGTTTGTTTTTATTTTTAAGGGGATTAAAACGGATTTAAATCGATTTATATGTTTTGCCCAAAATCTGATTTATCTTCATAAATTTCTATGATTTAATTGAATATTAATAAGATCAAATTTTAATTCATTCTGACCCTTTTTGTCTTTTTTGTTACTTAGGATTTTGCAAAATCTGATTTACAATAGTTTTCTATAATTTCCTTGCCTAATTTCGAGCTTAAAATCTGATTTATGTGGATCATTTTATTGAATTCTATAACATCTGGCACGAGTGTTCGTTTTTAAAAAATCGAGAATTAAAATTGTTAGCAAAAAAAATTGTTAGCAAAATCGAGAATTAAAAAATCGAGAATTAAAAGAGTTAGCAAAAAAAATTGAATTTTGTGAGTCTAAGAATCATCGAAAACGATTTAAATCGGTTTTTGAGACGCTCAAAGTTTTGAAGAAAGATCGCTTTAAATCGATTTAAAATGGATTTAGGTGAGATTCGGATGGATTTTAGTGAGTCGGAAAATCCATCGAAATTGATTTAAATCGATTTTCTAGACATTTAAATTGATTTAAAATTTCAAAAAGATCGATTTAAGATCCACTTGAGTTCGTAAAATGTACATTTTTAATCGATTTGCATTGATTTAAAATCGATTTTAAATCAATTTAAATCGATCCAAAACCATTTTTGTCAGTGCGGGTAGGTTTGTATCATTGACATAGCGGATGTCTGACATATCGGATGCTTGCCCTTGACCCAAAAAATGCGCAATGATTATAGTCGAGCTCGTTGATCAAAATCATGTTTTTGACCAAAGATTATTTAAAAAATTTTATGCAACCTTTCGACCATCGTCATCATCAGTTCATTTATGGGCGGTTTAAAAATTTCATACTGATTTAGCTCCTATGCTCTGGCTTTTTAGTTTATATGTACTGCGTGTACAAAACAAGACAAAACTTCTCGAATAAGGGCGAAGCACTGAATGCTCAGACTGCCGTTCAATATCTCTGAAACAGATTTCAAATACAAATACAAAAGGATGTTCCTGGCGTCTAAAAACGCGTTAAAAAACAATATAGTCTGCCTCAATTCACTATGGAACGAATCTGAGTCAGATTAGATCGCCTCTTCTGCGTTAATAGCCAAATTAGGAATTTTCTAACCACATAGTTATTTTAAAAAAAAACAAGAAAAATATGTTTTCAAAATTGGCATTCCATTTTTGGCATTTTAGTTTTCATTGTACAGCTGATTCAATTGACATCATTGGCGTTCTAATTTCCATTAAACAGCTAAATAATTTTTTAAAAAAAATTTTGTTCCGACTATCGGAAGTAAAGAGTATATATGCTCCGGGGATCAATCCTTAGATCATTGTGTTCAAAGAATATTAGCTTTCATCTCTATACTAATCTAAATTTAAGATCAGTGTCAAACAGGTCTAACGGAACTGCTTTTTTATACTTCGTCGATCAAAATGTACCGCGCATTATTTACGGGTGGCAAATTATCCAGCAACAAAAAAAAACGTATAAAATCGAATTGAGGCAAGCTAATTGGGCTTATTGATTCCGAACACGGCTTAAATTTAAATACTTTAAATTTGATACAATCAGCTTAATTTTATAGATAGTCAAAGTTTTATTAACCAAAAACTAATCAAGACCAGTCTAATCAATTAGGCAAAAACTAATCAATTAGGCAGTCGGAACATTCAGGGTTTACTGACAGCAAGTTATCAGAATCTAGCTAGCAACCCTCCGGCTAACTCTAAGATAACGTTTTTTTTGCAATTTTTGGAGTAAGACTTCAGTCAAGGTTTCAACCATAAATCTCAAACAGTTTTCATCGCTTCAAAGCAAACGTTAGCTTCTTTCTGTCCGGTAATTGTAACAAAATGATGACAGAAGGGCAAATTTATTAAATTGCAAAACCAAATAAAATCTAATTGCTCATGAAATTACAACAAATAGATTCAGACTGCTCATATATTAGAGCAAATCTCGACTGCTAAATATGACAAAAACTACAGTTTTCAAACCCCGTAGCTTTACAAAAACAAGATCACAGAAAAGGGTTTTCAAAACAAAGAAAACTTTTATTTTCAGGTAGTATAAAAATTTGTCAAAAACGCTTAGTTAGGAAGAGCAGAGTTAAGAAATTTGTCTGAATAAAAAACTCCCCAAACAAAACTATTCCACCACTTTCGTCAAAAATCAGAACTATATAACTAGCATCAAAAAATCATGAAGTTATCTTCAGATGAGCTCTAAAACGTTATTAAAAAGATTTAATGGATTAGTGAAAAACTATTTCCCATGATTTAATGCAAACATGGAATTTGGAATTATTTTTGAAAATTGCATTGTTTCAAATCTACTCCAGACCACCAATAGACTTATTTAACACTAACCTAACATTTTCAATGTCGGATGGTACTCATGGAGGAAAGACCGAAAACAAAAATTTTCAAAAGTCAATTATTAAAACGTATCAACTTCCATTCAATTAACAGGAATAAAACCAAGCAATACACTGCTTTTATAATGAAACCTTTGAATTATAAAATTTGTTCCAATTCTCCGGTGGTCAGTGATAACTTGAAAATTTTGCATATATCTGCCGTTTTTATATTCGGTCAAAATTGATATTGAGTTAGTGGAAATGTTTGCTTTCTTTACAAATTTTGGAGTACTTGCATCTGATTGGCAATTTTTTTTAGCCCAAGTATTTCTTCGCCTATGAGGGATTCCTCCTTCAATTTCGATTAAACATGCGTACTGCTGTGTGTAAGACACAACTTTCTGATTGACTGCAAGTGCTCAGCAAATAATCAAAATCATATTCTAAGCCCCTTTGGGGTTGCAGATGTTAAGTTGATTTCTCATATTGCTCCACTTAAATCCCGCTACAGTCTGTACATAACAAAAACTGCGTGAAAACCAGGCATGGAAAAAATATTTTTAAACAAATTTTACATGCAAATTTTAATATAATCTGGACGCTATTGATGTCGTTAGCTCAAATTAAAATTTTTTTTTCACCCAGTAGCGGATTTAGGGGGGGGGGGGAGGGTTCTACCCTCTTGAGGAATTCGACCCCTGCCGACTCAAAGGGTACCCTCTTTGTACTATTTTGAGACATCCATTTTTGGCTGACTGACCTTAAAACTTTTCTAAAGGCGCCTTTGGCGACATCTATACTAATTTTTAGGGAGGAGCGCGCGCCGAAAAAACGCAATTTTTTGGTCGAATTTTTTCAAAAACGTGCCCAAGAACGCTTTTTCTTGGCTTTTTTTTCAAAACTTGCCTGCCATGCAGAAAATTTTGTCAAATTTGAGTCTTTATAATAGTTTAAGAGAGCTCAGAAAATCAATTTCGACGACCTAAAAAAAAGGCTTTTGAAAATCCGCTCTCTCCTCCCTCCCCCCCCTCGAGAAGTTCCTAGATCTGCGCCCGATTTGACCTAATCCGTTTTTTGTAAAGTTATAACGGTTTGTAACTTTGCAACTTGGGAGAATTAACAAGCCATATTTTTTGTTCTACAAGAGCATAGGTGGAGATTCAAATCCTCAAGCATTGAATTTGAGGAATGCAAATTCAACTTATGAAGACGTTACAAGACGCAAAACATATTACTTTGTACTTTACTTAGCGTTTTTTAAACTATTTTTTTGTTTCTCCTTCAATTTTCCTAACCAAAACCTTTTAATAGGTGTTAAAAAGCAATCAAAACATTAAGTGCCTTAAAAACTACTATAAGAAATTTTAAGTTTCGCAGCAAAATGTTGCACTGGAAAGATGTAATTTTGAAAAACAACAGCAGTTGAAACGTAGAAAAGTTGAAATGATCCGATAACAGATATTCGGTGGTTAAATTAGTATTCCCTGCCATGAAAAAAAATTCGCAGTGTTGAGATAAAAGTGTTTCCTTGACTAATCTTAACTGGCTAGAACCAAATCGTGAAAAAACTAAAACAAAACATATTGATTTATCTTTAATGGACAGACATATCACTAGCCATGGCTATACAAAAAAGTCTTGAGAGAGGGCTTTTGTTCTTCTAAACTTAACAGCGTATTATTTTATAAAGCAAAAGTTTATTTTATAAAGTCTCACCGTTTCTTTTGAAAAAATCTAACCTGCTTTCACTTGCTTCTGATGACTTCTTCCATTCGTTTCTTTCGTTTGCTGTATTTGTTTTGTGCGATCCCACGATCGTCGAGTTCTTGGAAACGCTCACTTCTGTATTGAGATTAGACCTTCTCGTGGACGAAAATGACTTGCGAAAATCATCGCTGATTGTCAGAGCACCCGAGGAAGATAAATCACTCGAAGACTTGGCACGATTGGTTCTCGGAGCATCTCTGGAGGTGACCTGGGATTTTGACCTCTGTTTTAAGGCCAAACTGTCAACTGAAGATAAAGTCTGTGCGAGAATCAATTCCGATCGGTAGTTTTTCAGTAACGTGTGATTCGGCGTTTCGTGGCTCTCAACGCTGCTTGAAACATTCGCAACGTTCATTTCAGATTGAGTTGAGAAAATTCTCTCGTGATTATTTTGTCGACTGCTTGAAATGCTCTGTCGATGATGATGGTAATTTTTCTGAACAGGCGTGCTCGGAACGGAAACCGTTTGATCAATGTGCGACTTCACGGAGGTAGCTCGGAAGTTGTTCATTCCAACTCTATTAACTGACCAATCGGAAAAACTGTTATTATTAGAGCGTGTTCTGAGGGAATAAAGCGAAGCAACGGCGGCTTTAAAAGGCGGGGGTTTCATGCATATTCTATTTTTGTCTCCGGACCAACTTTTAAAAACTTTATTCATAGTTCCAGTTTTTTCTTCTACGTCAAGCTTTTCGTAACTGGTGACAATATTTTCGACACCGTTTGCAAAACTATCGCAAAGTTCGCCCAATGGCAAAAGTCCGCTTCCGTTTAAGTCGTCTTGAAATGAATCGAGGCTTGAAATGGACTGTGTTGCACACATTCCGCCGCTCTGTTTTCTGATTGGTCCGCCGAAGTTATACGAGTCGCTCTGAATACTAACTGAAGTGCGCGACTGTTTCATATCGGATGTTTTATAAGTCGGATTTTGCGGATTGGAAGAATGCAAGCACGGGTCAATTAGTTTATAGCTGCGCTGCGGCGCCATGTTTTCGCTGCTGTTTGCGTTACTACTCACAGCACTATTGGAAATGCTTGAACTTGATTGGCCAGCAGAATGGTTACCACCAGCCGGTTTTTTCACCCAAATGTCTTCGACACTTCCATTTAAAGAAGTAATTTCAGACGAAAGCTGTCGACTGTTTTGGAATTTAGGATCGGTTTGTTGGTGGTGGAGTTGTGGTGATGTTTTAGGTGAGGGTGAGAAAGATGTGGATCTGTCATGAAATAACTCAGTGTTCGATCGTTTTACAAGGTAGTTCACGTTGTCGTAAAGAGACACCTGCTTGGGAGATGAGCTCTGATTCAGTTGATTAATCTGCTGACTGTCTCCATTTCTGAGGCGAGGGGATTTTATCGTTTTATTGTCTCTCTTGTCAGCAATGTCATCTAAGCTAGACTGAAACCATGCCGCGTTTACTTTAGACTGCAGTCTGTCAGTCGCACTGTCACTGCACAAACCTTCACTCGAAGATTCCAATTGTAAATCTCTAGACCTCAGTTGCCAAATAGGTGCTGCATGGTCTATTAAATGCGGCCTTGAGTCGTTAGAACTCAATACAGTCTGGTTGTAGTTTGGAACATGTGGTGAACTGACCCTATTTAGTGATTGCAAGGGAGGCGAGTAATCTGAAAGCGGGGTTATAGTATTTATTGAGTTGGATGACGAGGGGGTGGTTGAGAGGGCCGGTTCCCAGTTGCCATTTAGATCATAGGGGCCGGCGTTGCTGTTTTTGAGTTTATTGTTACTGCTATTGTTGCCGGTCTGAGAAGTAATGTAAGTCAATTTCTGTGGGTCAAATCCGCCGCCTCTTTTCTTCAAGATGCCTTCTTTGCCGCCTCCTTGGGGGTGTGTGGGGGAATGGGCGGAAACGCACTCTACTCCGGGGGGACTGAAAATAATCAGAGGCGCTTTTGAAGCTGTTGACTAATCTCGCATAACTAAACCCGACACTAAGTGCGAGGCAAATATTTGGGTATCTGCTCTGATTTTAAAGCAGCAGAGCGAAGCGACTGAATTCTGATTAGATTGAATTCGTGCACATGGGGACAGTTATGTGAAAACGACTTCACAACTAAATATGCCAGTATTTCCATAAAACAAACCGCCTTTGGACAAAATGGAATAAATTTGGATTTAAACGAGGAAACTAGAGAAATTTTGGGCTATTTATTACCCCATTTAACCTCCTTGGGAACTATAAAAATTTTGATAATCAGTTTTTTCAAAAATTCTTCTAAAAAGGAACTAAATCTCATGAAATAATCACGCCTTGACTTTATGAAAGCTTCAAGGTAACTTTATTTTTTATTGACAGACACCTTCAAACAGATTTTAAACGACCTAAGCTCGCCAAAAACCCATCCCTGGAAGCCAAATTTTCTGCGTTTTAAACCCGTTTTTATTTTCTCGGGATAGTTTAGGTCGAACTTCAAATTTTAGTATTTCATTTCCTAAAGTCTTGGCTATACATAGTAGTAATTAATTTTATTTTATATTCAATCAAGTTTGGTAAGAATTTTTTGCAATGATTTATTTTTCTCAATTGAATAACGATTCTTCTAAACTTTAAATTTTGGTATTAGTATTTTGGAAAGAAACACTTGCTTGCAGAAACGCTCAAAACACAATTATGCATGATCAACTAACGCATATTCAAAATTATTTCTTATAACAAATTAAAAAAAAACAAGCCTGCTCGTATCAGGGTTTAAAATTTAAAGAACTTTTTAAAAAATGTGTAGAAAATTTTGATTTTATGGAAAAATAATTGGCACATATCAATCGAACTATAGACTGTTTAACGGGATAACAATTCGTTTGAAAAATCACAAGAATCATCTGGTATATTGGCTCATTATGAATTCAAATTCCTTAGCCTCCCCGGCATTTTTAGTCTGGAGGTAACGAATACGCTTGGGACGGCTGAGTTCGAATCTGAGCAGGACCTGTTTTTTTCGAAAGGAATTATTCCGTTTCAAAAAAATTATTGGCCTATTATTTGTCTGCTTATGTTTTGTAGGCTTAGTTGCCACATCTTGCAGTTTTTTCTACTGAACGCATTTTTCATTGAAGTTGTTTTGAGTGGGTGGTTTATTTGCTCCTGCAATATGTAATTTTACAAACCTTGTTTTCGTATTTTGGTTTTTAGTTATTTTTAAGGTTGAAACCTTTATTCGGTCCCAATGGTTTCAATTTACATTTCATAGGCTAACTGACCAATTTTTGGGTCATTTCATGGGAATACAACTTTTCTGCTCTCCACCAGATCGCCCAAGATGATAAAATCAAAATTTTTCAGAACAACGTTTTTTTGGCTCAGTTGGCGTTCAAATTTTCCTAAATAAAACGCCGTGACGTAATTTTGTGACGTAATTTCTTCTAATAGAATACCATCTAGCCAATCTTTTAATTTTTTTTCTTGATGTTTTTCATTATTTTTGAGTGCTTTTTCAAATTTTTTTTAGAAAAACAATTTGCGTCTACACACAACATTTGAATCAGTTAGCGTGCCTCAAATAAAGTTCGAATAAAAACTTTTGTCTGGGTTAAATTTTGTCACATTGGGCACAAACTATTGAAAAACAGAAAATTTCAAGTACTTAAAAAATGCACGCTAAGTTTCTTTAAAAAACTCAACCAGACTGCCCGTATCAAGGCAACGCCCTGAATGTTCCAATTTATAATAAAACTCACTGCGCGTTGGTTATCTCAAATTGACCAAATTGACAATCTCTAAACCCCCATAACTTTACGAAAAGTGATCACTGCTGGAATATCTTTTTAATTTTGAATTCAGGACAACAAAAAACACTCCATAAGATTTTTGAAAATTCTGCCAAAAACTGCTTGTTAAAAATTAAAAATTATCTCGAGAAAAAATCATCCCGAGCAGAAGCATTCCGTTTATTGCTTCGAAAGTCGGAGTAAAAATTAAATTTCACAAAAATAATAAAAGACCACAAAGCTTAGAAAGCAGTTTTAACTTCATATCTTTCTGCACTATTTTTTTTTGCTTTTCAAACCCAAAAACCATAGATTTTTTGTTTCACCTTTTTTATAATGAATAAACGGAAGCGAAGCATTTTTACCCATTTTAAAAATGTTATTAAGGTCAAAAACTTTTTCTGGCTAAAAATTGCAATTATTCTATACTAAACGTGGTAAAAAAACGTCAAAACTTGAAAAAACAACAAAAAAAGTAATCTATAATTGAGTATTGAAATTCAATTAGCAATTAAATCAAAACACCTGGCCAGAGTTTAAAATTCAATTTTTGTCTCCCTCTTTTTTCCATATTTGCAAAAAAACTAATAGCAAACTTGATCTAGAAGTTTTTGATAGCTGGGAAAATTTATTTTGCGAGCTTGCCAGTCGCCAGTCGCAAGAAACTAGCTCTCCATAAGAATGCCTGGTGGTTGTAGGCGCAGAGTATCGACACGAGCTAAGTGCACCGCCGGCCAGGCAACTGAGAGAAAACGTTAACAAATTGACGATATCAGCTGATTATCAAAACTGAACTATCTCTGTATCTGTTAAAAAGACGACGCCTGCCTTACAATAAAATCTGCTTCCAATTTACTAATTTTGCTAGCGGCAAACCATCGCGTTATTATTTCGATCACTTCAGTGAAAATGACTGGTAGAAACAGCGGCGTTAGGATGTGTTTTTCCGACATTTTTGGCAATTTGGTTCCAAGAAACTGGTTGGTGAACATGTGTGGCACCATTTAGAGTAGAAATGGTCATTATTCGGATTTTTAAGATTTCGGAAACTCAGTGTCGAGAAAATTGTGTCTGAGTTTTTCCGTTTTTCAGAATAATTTACACGGAAGGTTACGTAGAACTGCGCTTCCAATCTGCAGTTTTTATTTGGTTTAGCAATTATTAACATACTTTTGCAAATTTTTAATATCTCTTTCATCTATGAACAACGAATGAAGAAATAAATCTTTTTTGTTTCACTTTTCGTTTTCTAAACTTCTTCACTAAAGTTTCTGTGGTCAAAGAATTTTGTGCTACGTTGTTTCCACTGGTAATTTTGATAATGATGACAACAAGACTGCTCGTATCAAGCAAAGCTCTGTATCTTCCGAATGCAATTTAACACTAATAAATTTGTTGCGAAAATCACCCCACCCCCACGCTAAGTACACAGTTATACACTAGCAATTTAATTCAGAACGTTTTCTGAGACGGAAAAAATCTCTGTTTACGCGTTAAGAGCACAAATAACATCGAGCGTTAATCATCCCAAATAGGCCAAATTATCAATATTTAAGCCCCCATAACTTTACGAAATATGATCACAAGTGAAATGAACTTCTTTTCAAAACTTAGGTCAGGACAACAATACCTTTCGACTGATATATTTGGCTAGTTAGAAAATCGAAATTTGTCTAAAAAAACACCCGAGCACAAAAATGTCGCCACTTTGTTTGAAAGTCTGAACAATAAATTGTTTCAGAAACATATCTAACGTTTTATCATTTTATATATGTCTTTTTCGAATGCAGATGGTTTGTTAGATCGCCATTAGACACGAATTAACTAGTTTCAGGCGTCTGGCAACGTCCGCTCTCTTAACATGATAGAAAGTAAATCAGCCGAAATGATAATACTTTCATCCATTTCTGTTCCGACTTTCGAAAAAAGTGCGGAATATTTATGCTTGTGTGTTTTTTTATTCAGTCAATTTTCGACTTCTTAACTAAGCGTTTTTGACGGAATATTTTTTATACCATCTGAAAGATATTGTAGTCCTGTTTCTAAAAATATATTTTACCTGAGATCATTTGTCGTAGAGTTACGGGGATTTCAAAATTGGTAATTTGACCAATTTGGGACAATTAACGCACGATATATTGCGTACTTATAACACGCGTAAGCCGTCCAAATTAAATTGAGGCAGCAATTTAATCTTGTTTAACACAAGAGGAGACGCTAAATACACTATCAGTAATTTGCAAAGCGTATCGAGGGATAAAATTAAGAAAAAAACGAATTAATTTGTCTTTAATTTTTTCTCAATTATTTTGTCAATTATTCAACAAATTTTTTTTTTAAATTGGCTGTAAGTGCAGTCGGAACGTTCAGGGATTTACCCTGATATACGAGAAGTCTTGTTAATTTTATGAAAAAATCAGGTTTCAACGGGAAATACATAAATATCGACCGGTTAATATGCTGCATTTTAAGTTTAAACATCGATCCCGGCTAATTTTTCCGCTCTCGCTTCAACAAAGGATGAAAAATGAACAAGACATACCTGTACTGATTTTGTGTTCTCGTCTGCTGTTGGCCACTCGGAGGCCTAGACGGATGGTGAAAGGTGTTCGATCTTCGACTACGACCGTAGGGTGCCGCTACAAACGAATTACCCGAAACGACAAGTTGCGACGGCTGACTCTGCCTTTCCGAAACAGCAAAGTTGCTATCATAAGTGTGATCAGATCTTAAATGAGAAGAGCTGTTCGGTCTGTGTTCGTCTACTGTCTCTAAACATGGTGTCGTTCTAGCCCAATAGAGAGACGAGGAGCTATTCACAGTCGGTTGGAACGAAACACTTGGATGTTGCTGCTGCAGTTGTTGGTGTTGTTGATGTGCAGGTTGAGTTCTGCTAGTTTTTGATCTGTTGGGAGAAAATGAGGTTTCGACACCCTGGAATTGTTTAGATCTGGGTGGCACTGGGTAGAGAGTGGCGGGATTAAAGCTAAATAAAAAGAGCGTCGTCTATGAACAAGAAAGATCAACTTAAAAAGTAATTACATAGCCAAAAAGAAAAATTGGTCATTTTGAGCTAAAAACTGAATCTCAGAAGCTAATTCTATAAATATTTAAAATATTCAATTCATAAAAGTTTGAATGAATGTCGCAAATAATAATCAAACAATTATTCTTTAATTACTATTAAACTTTCAGCTGGCCAAATATAAATCAATATTTCATTGAAATATAAAAATAGAGCAGGAATCAAGTATGATTCAATAACAAAAACAGCCTGGTTTTAATCGAACTACGGTATGTGTCGAATAACTCAAAACATCAGAGAACATCGAATCCACTGATTAGGTTGCAATAAAGAGGATGTCACTCTTTCCATTCAAATGTGATATCCTATCTGTTTTACTAGAGCGGTTTAATTCAAATTCCCTGAAAACGTGTTAAATAGTTCCACCTTTTCCCAACCTCGAGTGCCGGATAACAAAAGAAGGGCAAATGAAAGCCAGGGGGCAAGAGATGGTAAAAGTTTGTTGAACAAATAAATGTTTTTTTTTCAGTTATCACGAACTGACGACGTGCTGCATAAGTCGCATAAAAATAACACCAAAGAAAAAAATTTTTTGTCAAGGCAATTCCTATCAAATTTTTATTGCTTGATGATTAATTAGGTTTAGTTATTTCTCAAACTTTCGAGCGCTTTATTTTCTTTGACTATAAATATCTGCAAACTGAAATGCTCGATGAAATTTATTCCATCGATTTAGGAGCAAATGGGTCATTTTATCTTGCGGGTTTTTCGGAAAAGATAAAACTGCAAGAGGACTTTGTTAAAAAAAGATCAGAGACGGGCGGAACAGCCAGGAAAATTTGCGTGGGAAAGCCACTACTTCAACTGAGAAAAGACGAAAGACGAAAAAAAATCTTCTAAAAGCTTTGAGGTTGGTCGAAAAGTTAAGTAATGGCGAGCACAGTCGATGATAAATATCTAGATTAGCTTAGTAAATTAAACCCATGGAGATTTATTTTATGAAATGCCTTGGGCATTTGCAGGGTACACTATTTTGAAATATAACACAGCGAAGACTTGGTTCAAATTACAAAGAATACAGAAACCCCGATTAGCAACAGGACCCACAATGATACCCACAATCAGGGGTGGATTTAGGATGGGGGGGGGGGGGGCGGGGAAGCGGACGCTTTTCTCAGAGATTCGACCCCCTGCCGACCCAAAGAGTCCCCCTTGGTACTTTTTAAGAAATCCATTTTTGCCAGATCGACCCTAAAATTTTTCTTAAGGCGCCTTTGATCTGCTTTTTAAAAATTTGCCTGCGTTTTTTGAGTGTTTTAGGAGAGCTCGAAAAAAAAGTCGTCAAAATTTTCGAAAATGTTTTTGAAAATCCGCCCCCCCCCCCCTCGAGAAAATCCTATCCGCCCCTGCCTATAATAATATTTGCTTATTATTCTCTTTCTTTTCGAAAGAATGCAAACAACAAATAATCAAATTTCGATTCATTTAAATATCAATTGCTTTTGACTTATGAACTATTCGAAAGGCGTTTTCATTAACCGGAACAAAAAGCCGAAAAAGTTTGCAAGAAAGAAATAGTCGCTTATCATATCTGCTCCCACAGAGGAGCGTGGTCGCATCACTTGCGAATCATTCAAAGCACAGCGTGACAAGCTAGAGAATGAGTTTAAAAATGTTGGAAAAATGCCATCTACCAATTTTTCTTAAACTCGGCTCGAGTGAACTTAGCCTTAAACTTGAAAAAATCATTAACTAACATTAAATTAGCCTTAAAATAGCAAAACAAGTTAACTAGGCGGCAAAAAAATGTTTGTAAAGAAAAGTGTGAGCAACAGAAGAATTTTAAAACTCCAATTTTTAATCCCCCCGAGCCCCGATACATCCGCTTTTGTAGCAATGTAGCATCTAAATGAGCAACGTAACGTCGAGGTAGATTAAATGAATTTTCAAAAACTTAGCTCAAATTTAGAAAAAAAGTGATTACAAAAAACTTCTTGCCTATAATACAAGTTTTTATCGCGTTTGTTACCAAATAAAAAATCATTGCCAAATTTTTACTGATTCCAACACTCAAGTTTTCCCCAATATATATACATTTTGCTTGGATGAGCATTCATCAAATTAGCAAATTCTATGAATACACCATATTTGTTCCGAGTTCCAATAAAAGCGACGAAATATTTGTTAATGTTTTTTTCTCGACACAAATTTACCATTTTCAAAAACCGTTCTTGACAAGATACTCTTAAAAACATCTCAAAGAAGTGACTTACTGAGTTTTATTTTTTTTGTTCCTACCATTAAAAATGGGGAGGAATTTTGTATACATGTGTATTTTAGTTCCTTTTCCACGCAAAGTCAAGCACCATAAATAATCATAGGACATTTTTGAGTGATATGTCATATCAAAACCCTCTCAGTAGTATTAAAAACTGCATCAAAAATGTTCAAAAAGTTCCCAATGTCGAGAAAAGCCGGTATAAAATTTTTGATTTTTCATCCATTTTCGAGCGAACGTTGGTTATCATCGACGTTCGCTCGAAAATGGTTATGTATGAAACGTTGGTTATGTATGAAAAACACCAATTTAAGCTAAAAATGATAATTTTACTTTGCAAAAAAATAGTTTTGGATGCCTTGATTGTGCTTTTCGGGCAATTTTTTTTTTCGAGAAGATTTGAAATTTTTAGTGCAATAAAATGACATTAAAAACATTTAAAAAATTTCTGAAATTTTTTTGTTTGTTCATTATTTTTTTTTGAAGACAATTGTAGTCGTTTATGCCTAATTCACTAACTTTCTTTGCGTTTGTATAGCTCTATCTTATCATCAAACGAAGTACAAGAAAAAAAATTAACTTGAAAAAATAATTCGGAATATTAAGTAAGTGGTCGGAACATTCTGTGCTACTTGCATAGCAACCGGCTATCTTTGTTTTCATTTTTTAACAAATAATACAAGTACTGCAAATACTACAAACTGTCATCTGAATTGGTCGAGTGATACATCATATTAGAGCTTTTTCAGTCGTGATTCGAACGAGATTTAAAAAACATAATAAACTTTTTCAATGTTGATAAAAAGAGGTTTGAAATTTTCAACTTTTGTCTAATTCCGAGCTAGTAACGCAATCGAGTTACGCTCGCTGGATGCAAGTTCACTATTTTCTACTAATTTTTTGAAAAAAAAGTCCTAGATGTTTCATTTAGCGCTTGCGTGGCAAAAAATTCACTAAAAAAAATTAAATTATTGTGCAAAAAGTTGATTTTTTTTTCACGAGTTGTATTTATGTTTTGAAAACAATTGTCGTCAATCATGCCTAATTTACTAAATTCACTAAGTTTATACGCAATTGTTTATTTTTGAATGACACCATCTACCAAAAAACTGACTAGTTCGAAGGAATTTGAAAACAAAATTTTTTTTTCCTTTTTTTTTATAAATATGGTTTGAACATTTTGTGCTACTTGCACAACAACAGGCTTTTCTTGTTTTTAATTGACATCAGTTTAATCAGACATTCACTACAAAATTGACAGCTTTTGTCGAACCTGTATCAATCAATCAATTGAAAGTCAAGATGTATCAATCGATCAATTGAAAGTGGCCATCCGAAAACGAAAAAGTCAATCAACTGCATTTTTTTAAAGTCTTAGTGCATATATATGTAGGGGCGGATCTAGTTTTTTCTCAAAGAAATACAAAATTTTGTGGGCTTTTTTTGTTATTTCAATCAAACTGATTTTATGGGTTCGCCCAAATTACCCAAATCACTAGAAAGACCCTATTTCGGCCATATTTTTGCGCCACTGGCAAATTTTAGAAGGTCAAAAAAGCGTTTTGTTATTTTTTTTTTGAAATTAAATAATCGCGTTTTTTGGTGCGAGCTCCCCCTCAAAGATCGTATAGTGCATGCAACTTATAGTACGTATAAGAAGAGTTGAGTTCTAACTGAACCGAGCGTTTTCAAATCTGGAGATAAAAGAACGATAGTTAGAATCAGTTAAGAAAATTTAACTTACCAATCGCGTTTTTTGGTGCGCGCTTCCACTCAAAGTTAGTTTATATTGGCGCCTGAATGGCCAATATATTTATTCTAGGGTCAGTCAGCCGAAAATTGATATCTCAAAATAGTACAAAGAGGGACTCTTTTGGTCGGCAGCAGTGGCATCACCCCAAACCTCCCCAACATCCGCGACTGTATATGTATATATGGTTTTTCTAGGATTTTGACAAAACCCGAAAAATCAAAATGGCCTACATAATTCAAAGATTGTGGTTTCTTTTTCATTTTCCCTACCTTCAAAAAGTCTTGCGCATGCCATTGCTATTTAGCGAATAAAATAGAAAGAATAGTGCTAAGACACTTGAGCAGAACTTTCAATGGCGTAAGCAGAAGCTTTCCAATGAGAGGCAGCTTTTAGAACAATTGTTGAAATTTTTTCGATGTTTAATTATGTTTGAAAACCAGGCCAAAAATGACCTGGTGTGAAAAATGTATTCTTAACGCGCATTTGCGGATCTTGTAGAGTAGTACCAAAAAGGGATCCTTTCAAAAAAATTGACAGCGAGAACTGAGGGGGCTACTCAGTAAAATAACACCAAAAGGCATTTAGGGGCTACTCAACATTTCACGATGGTTCTTTGAATATGAAACTACTTCTTACCTCTGTTTACAGAGACTTTGTCACAAAAAACACGTAGCCAAAAAATAAGTACTTGAAATTCAACCTAGAGTTTTTTTTGCTCACCTGAAGTGAGGCGTGTGATTCTTGTAATATTATTAAAAGAAAGTAAAAAAAAAAATGATTGTATTCGGTGTTGGAATTGCAATGAAAGCAGTATGACAACGGCTCTTATTTAAAAACGGGCGGCTGTGATGGCGTCAAAATCAGAGCGGCAATGGCAATCCATAATTGGATCGCACTTGCCTGTTTTGTCTCTGTCTTCCTTGGGGCTTT